GCGGGAGGGGGGGCTCGGCTCGAGGGAAGTGGTCGGGACCCGCCTGGGCTGGGAATAGCTTTGGAGGAGCGGCGGCTGGTGGGCTGACTGCTTTTGGGGAAAGCTTTGTCGAGGAGAGAGCCGCCGCCGCCGCCTGCCCGCCCGCCCGCCTGCCCGCCTGCCTCGCCCTTCGTGCTCACTCGGCCCGGAGCGCCGGGGAAGTTCCCGGCCGGTTGCGCCCAGTTCGGCTGCTTTTGCCCGGTTTCAGAAGCCAGAAGAAGGGCCTCTGGACGACGCCCCGGGCGCTTTGGGGCCGCGGCGGTTTCTTTTCCTTCTGCTGATGTGGGAATGGGTAATTTCGGAGTGCGAAGAGTCAGTCCACTCATTTTCTTTTGGCCCTCACGTGAGCTGTAAAATCGGGTGGCGGAACCATCTCTTTGTTGAGTCCTGGTAAGAGTATTCCAGGGTGTAGAGGAAGAACGCCGATTCCTTTGAGGTGCATAGCCAGTAGGGCAGGAAGGCAGGCAGGTCTGTGAGTAGGCGCCTCAGCCTGGTGGCGGAGAAGCCGATCTGTATTTCTTAAAGGTCTCCCTGCTGGGGCAAAGGTGCCTGTTGGTGGTGTTGGGAGAGGTCAAACACCAGTGACCTTCCTCCATCCTTATACTGGTGGCAAAGCTTACCTAAGCTTCTAAACTACTGGCCTACCTTTTGCTGGGAGCACCAGGCGGTGGCTTCCTTGAATCTCTTCAGTCCCCCTTTTGGACCTCGGATGCTCTCCTGGTGTCCAGTAAACAAAGCACAATCCCAGACCTGACTGGGTACTAAGTTTAGAAATGTCAGTCAACTGGGATTTCTTTCTTTCTTTCAAAGCTGACTATCAGCTGGGAAAGTAAAAGTTTTCCGACATGTTTGCTTCCTTCTCGGAGTTCTAATTAGCAGCAGCCATTTGGGGACAGATTAGAGTCAGGATGTTTTGAGACATTGGCTTCCCCCGGCTGTATCTTGTAAATCTATGTTTCCTTTCAAACAGGCCTTTGGTTTCGCCTCTCTTGGGAAGGGGTGGGCCCACCAGAGGGAGGGAAACACAAAACAGTCGCTCCCCTTTCTAAGCCCCCCCAAGGGGGGGGGGGAGAGAGAGAGAAACAATCCCTGCCATAGCTAATTGGGAAGAGGGATCTTTGTTCCATCAACATGGCAACGCTGAGTGTGCCAGTGAAGACATGTTTAAAAGATGTACCTATCACTGGAACCACTTCTTAGGAAGGAATTACAGTATTCACTGCAGGGGTCTGGGAGGGGGTGGCAAACTTTGAAGAAGCAACAGAAAATGTGCTGGGGGGGGGTCTGAGAAAACTTATTGCCAGCAGTCTTCAGGCAATCTTTCCTGGTGGGCCCCAGTCCTCTGCTCTTCTGGGGCTCCTCGCCAGTAAGATCTGCCCTGCACAGCAGATGGGTGGGACACAGTATGGTATTTTCTGTCTCGTGTCTGATCCAGGTTTTGGATTAATGTGGCATTAATGCCGAGTTCCCGGTGGTGGTGCTTGTTAGGCCCTTCTCTCGCAGTCAGGGTGCAGTTGTGGATGAGAGCGTTGTCCTCTTGGTGAGGGCCTCCCCAGTGAGTCAGGAGTGCTGGCCGAGGAGGATGCTGCTTTCCCTCTCGGAAAGCGGAGAGGGTGCAAGGGAGCCTCTCTGCTGGCTTGCGTCCTTTGCAGATGGCGCTTCTCCGGAAGAGGTGGCTGGGAATTGACCTTCCGGACACCATTTTAGCTGTTCTGGAGTCAGGGAACTGGTGGGGCCTGTGCTGTGACCCACCTTCCCGGCTGTGTCACTCTAAATGACCCCAAATTGTTCTAAGCTGTGGCCTTCCTTGCCCGCCCTCTGCTTATTTGGAGGGGAAGAAGCCACTTTTGTCCCCCCTTCCCTGGACAAGACTTGTTGGCCCCTTTTGCCTTCTCAGCAGCTGCCCTCTCTGTTTTCCAAGCGCCTGGCTCCATTTTGGCTGCCACTCGGTGGCAATGTGGGAACAAAGCAACGGAGAGAACCAGGCAATACTGGGGGCCACTTGCCCTCTCCAGAAGAGACCCCGTTATGTGTCCTCGACCTTCTTCTGGCCTGGCTCTTGGGAGGTCCGGATCCTCTGCATGTGCTGTTCTGCAGCCTTGAAGGCTCAGATCCCTAGAGGTCTTGTAGAATCACTTCCACCAGCAGCTGGGTGAAGAATGCTCACCCACCTTCGCTTTTGTAGGTGCTTTTCAAAAGCTATCCCGGCATAAGTTTGTCTGACCTGCTCTGCCTCAGCCTTGGGAGGGGAAAACCTTCTCCATCTATCCATCTCTGTCTGTCTGTCCTGGTGCCTAGCTTGTGTTGGTAGATTTGATAGCTTCCACTGGAAGCCTGAAGTGTAGGTTTTGCTGAATTTCCTAAAGAGGTAGATGGGTTGGTTTGTTTCACTAGGAAATACCAAAACAACCAGATCAAATAAAAAGGTGTTGATACTTCCCCAGGCTTTGTTGGGCAGAGAAAGGAAACGTAATTGACTGAGGTGGGAAGCATGCCTCAGCCTGAGAGTCCTTGGGGTGCTCCTGGAAGAGATTTGTGGGCTAATGAAAAAACAATCCTGCTTTGGCTGGTGCTTCTTAAGTTAGGCTCCTTTCTCTTTTGCTTGGGGAAGCTTTTACGTGGGGAAGAGCCCTTTGGGACCCATGATGTCTCCTTGTGTTTCTTTTGGGAGCACCTCCTCCAAGGTGCTTCATTTTTACCTGTCCTTCCCTAGCTGGGTAAACAGGTTGTGCTTGGGAGCGAGGTCTGGCCCGTCAGGTTTGGAATTAGGGTGCTGAGGACGCCTCCTGGGCTAGTTTGAGATGGGGTCAGACTCTGGACTTGATGGCCTTGCAAATGTTGCTCTGCATGGTTCATAATTTCTGCTTCTCTCCTTCCTCCACATTTGTAGAGCTTCTTCTTCTTTACAAATACAGTGGGGTCTTGACTTGAGAACTTAATCCGTATTGGAAGGCGGTTCTCAAGTCAAAAAGTCTGTAAGTCAAGTCTCCATTGACCTACAGTGCATTGAAAACCGATTAATCCCGTAACAGGCCGTTTTTGTTCCATTTTGGTTTTTTTCTGGTCTGTAAAGTCAAATCTCAGTCTGCAAGTCAAACCTAAATTTTGCGGCCAGAGAAGTCTGTAACTCAAAAAGTCTGTAAGTCAAGCCGTCTGTAAGTCAAGGGTCCACTGTAAAGTGAGGAAATATACCTTTGTAGAAATGTCACTGAAGCAAATCTTGAGTTGTTTCTGGAAGGAAGACACTTGACTTTAAAGCTGCTCTTGGTGAAGGAAGGGACACAGGCTCAGACTAAATATCAGTTAGGAAAAAAACCTTTCTCCCCTGGTCATTATCATTCAGATCTTGAATTTAAATGTGGCCTATTGCTGTTTAGCAAGGCAGCAGTGGTATATTTAATCTCCTGTGTATTTTTGTAACAATGTTAAAAAACAAGACTTTTCCAGTTTTTGTTTATGTTTTTTGCTTGCCTTTGTAGTATTTAATTTTTGTTGTTGTTGAGGCTGCAGAGAGAAGTAATTGGAAACAATTCTTGAAATACTTTGCACTCAATTAACTCAGCATTTCAAATGACCCTTGTCCTTTTCCAGGTTTACTTTATGTTATGAAGCACACGGTTGGCTCTTATGGCCTGTCCCATGTCTGGCCAAGCCCCGGTAGGTGCCTCTGAAAGGAAGGCTCCCAGGAAGCATCATTCCAGAGGGTCCTGCAGCAAAAGACTGGAGGTTTATTGAGAATGTTTTTGCTGTTTTGCTGAAAAGTACACTTCTTAGTGGGCTGTGTTTTGGAGCACTTGCCAAAGAGAAACGTTCCTAACAAAGTGTACATTGCAAAATCCACCTCATGTTGAGGTTCTGCCTTCCTGAAGGTACTGAATTAGGCCTGAAATGGAAATAAACTGGAGCTTCTTGAAAGATCTTGATCTTGGTGGGGAGAGGGTAGACTCTGGGTTACATTCCATGGGGTTTCCTTGCAAAATGTTGGAGTTTTGTTGTTTGTTCCTGCGCATGTTTTCTCGCAGCCAGCAGGAGCTCCTTCCAAGGGGACGGCACAGGGCTGTGGCTCTCTCGCCTTTCCTTCTCCGCTTTGTCTAGTCGTGTTTAGAATCCCTGTTAGCGTAACAAGCGCAGGCTGAATTCTTGATGTATTACCCGAACCTTGTGCCAGAGGTCCTGATGAATGGCTCCATTCTCTTTGTTCTTAAACTTTCTGGGCGGGGTCGGGGAGGGGGGGAAAGGTGGCAGCCCCCACAAACTTTCCCAAACTTCCCCTTTTCTGAGCGGTGTTTTTTTGCTGGTTGTGAGTGGCTGGTTCTCTCCTTGTCCTCACTGGAGGAGCTTGGATGCTCCCTCTCTCTCTCTCTCTGTGTGTGTGTGTGTGTGTGTGTGTGTGTGTGTGTCTTTCGTGTGTGTGTCTTTCGCAGGCGCATCCCAAGGTGCCTTCAGAGAGTCTTTCAGGACTGGTTTGGATGGAGGTGGTGAGCGCCTATGTGGGAAGTTTGGTGGAGGCCGAGGGCTGTTCTCTGCCGACTGCTTCTAGCTTTGGAAGCTTTCAAGCACCAGGAAGGCCACAGCGATGAGCTGCTGCTTCTTTTTGCTGAATGTTCGGCTGACCTTTTTTAACATGAAATTTGGAATTCATGGCTTGTGTATGAATGAGTTGGAGGTACGCTTCACACAAATTGGAGGTATGCTTCCTGCAGAATGTCTGTGCTCTCATTTCATTCAAAGATATTTGAGTTTTTTTGTCACCAAATGTGTCATGAGATTTGCTACAAATGTAGGGGGCAAAACGCAGTTCCTTGGGAGAACTCTCTCTGCCTTACGTGCTGTCAAGGGAGAGCTGACTTATCCCGGCTTTTGGGCTCCACCGTGAGGTGCTTCGGGCTTTTGGACTAAGGCTGGCCCGCCGCTGGGTGAGGTGCTTTGGCTTGTGATTTTCTTGGTCAGGTGAGAAGGCCCTCAGGGGAGGAGCGGCCCCTACGGACTCTTGTGTTTTTTGCTTTTCAGACCAGATGGGCCTGAACAGCCTCTCTCAGAGGAAGTGTGGCTCTCCTTGAGGATCTTCTTCCTCCTCGTAGCCCTGGTGTGTGTGTGTGTGTGTGTGTCTCCCTCTCCCTGCCCTCACCCCAAAGTTTTGGAGCTCTGCTCTCCTTATCTAGGCAGGTTCGGCCATGGCGGCGGCGGCTGCAGGAGGGAGGCCTTCTCCTTGTCCTCTTCTCCCAGCCCGGTTTGTCTTAATTCCCTTTTAAAGCCCTCTAAGCTCTTAGCCATCGCTGAGTCCTGCCTGCTGCATTCCTTGAGTCAGGTGTATGTTGTCTGAAGGCGTCCTTTTGTCTCTCCTGAGCGGCAGCAGCTTCTTGGCACACGACACCCACCCCACGCCTGCC